GGATCGGGGTAAGAGGCGGGAGCCGGCGCGCGCTGGCCCGCTTGTTCCCGCTGTTGTTCCTGCTCGGGTTGGCGGCCCGCGGTTCTGCTCTCTACTTCCATATCGGGGAGACGGAGAAGAAGTGCTTCATCGAGGAGATCCCGGACGAGACCATGGTCATAGGTACGAGTGCGTGGGGTGGGGGTGAAGAGGAGTTCCCGGGAGTGGGCGTGGGTCACGTGACCCTGCAGGAACCGTGGGGGGGGGGGGACTGGCCCGGGAAGGGGGCAGTGACCCCGCTTCCCCAACGGAGCCCGTCGTCTGCTCGCTTCCCGCAGGGAACTACCGGACCCAGCTGTATGACAAGCAGCGGGAGGAGTACCAGCCTGCCACCCCCGGCCTGGGCATGTTCGTGGAGGTTAAAGACCCGGATGACAAGGTGAGAACCCCGCGGGCTCCCGGGCGGAAGGGCTGGGGAGGAAGCCCCACCCAGCATCCGCGTTTGAAACCTGCTCAATGGGCCGGGCATACCCGTGTACTCGAGGGGCCTGGCCTGCTGCTCCTGGCCACCGTCCTCCCCGTCACATCTGGAGCTCTGGCCGCATCCCCATCCCACTTCAGCGTGTAGACCTGTGCCTTCCTATTTGGAGTGAATCCCTCACCAGGGCAGGATCACTCAGATGTATGAGCTTGGAAAAGTCACTGCCCTGGACTTCACTTTGCTCATCTGTAAAATGAGAAAGGTGGACAGCTTGGTCTCTAATTCAGGCATTCCACGATTTGAACCCTTTGGGAAATCTGCATCTTGGATACAGCCTAGGACTCCCCTGCTCATCTGCCCTCCTACAGGTCTAAAACCTCAAACTGTTTTTTCCAAATTTTCCTTTTCCCACCTGTGAGATGGACTATGAGTAGCTGCAGCCACATAGCAAGATTCCCAAGAACAGGGTGACACTACAGCATATTATGAAGTTAGTAATCAGGTTTCCATCAGCCACTGTTACTACAAAGGCCCTTTTTTCCCTCTAGGTGATTCTTTCTAGGCAATATGGCTCAGAAGGCAGATTCACTTTCACTTCTCACACTCCTGGAGAGCACCAGATCTGCCTACACTCCAATTCCACCAAGTTTTCCCTCTTTGCTGGAGGCATGCTGGTAAGTGTTAGAAAAAGGCCTTAGCCAACTTGGCAAAAAGGGTAGGAAGCAATATGGGCAGTCAAGGTAAGAGTAGACAGGGCTGGGAGTCAGGAGGCTCAAATTCTAACCCTGGATTTATCACTGACTTACTGCTCTTGGATAAATTGCTTTCCAGGCCTCAATTTCCATATTTTAAAAGAAGGTGTTTAGTTCATTTCTTAAGCAAGTTCACCATCAACTCTGACATTGTATGATTCAAAGTCATTTTCTCTTTGACACTCATTTTTCTCATTTATAAAATAAAAGACTTTGGACTACATGATCTCTGGTTCGCTCCAGGTCTGACATTATGTAGCTCTTGAATCTCTGTACTCTTAGAATAATGTGGTGATTTCTGTGTGGGTGAAGGAGTCGGGGTAGAGTGAGGTAATTTTTAGAAGATAATGTGACATAAAAGACTGAGTAATTGGAGAGTGAAGAGTTTTAGGGTAGTTGGAGATTGCATGTCGTGGACCCGATGTTCGTCTTGTCTTAAGTGAACGGAGCTGTGTACCTTGACTTTTATATTTGTTTCCTCCCTTCTTCCCAGAGAGTTCATCTGGACATTCAGGTAGGCGAACATGCCAACGACTATGCAGAGATTGCTGCCAAAGACAAGCTGAGTGAGCTGCAGCTTCGAGTTCGACAGCTAGTGGAACAAGTGGAACAGATCCAGAAGGAGCAGAACTACCAGAGGGTAAGGGGATCGAGAGTGTCTGAGAGATGGGGCTCCTGGGTGGAAAGTGCTAAGTACTCAGTGGAAAGGAGGGCTGCTCCTTTTTCAAGGCTGGCTTACTTCTATCTTTATTGGCCCCTGGGGTCTGGATTAATTCTAGAGATCCTGGTCCTCTGGGATACAACCTTGAGATACCATGAGTATGACTTTTAGCTTAAGTCCTCTTCTGTTTCCCACAGTGGCGAGAAGAGAGGTTTCGCCAGACCAGTGAAAGCACCAATCAGCGAGTTCTGTGGTGGTCCATTGTCCAGACTCTCATCCTTGTGGCCATTGGTGTCTGGCAGATGAGGCACCTCAAGAGTTTCTTTGAAGCCAAGAAGCTGGTGTGAAGGGCCCAGGACAACAGGGGCAAGTGAGAGTTTCTTCCCAGAATGCAGGATTCATGGGACTGTCTTTGGCTTACCCTGCCCCTACATCCAGCCACAGCTGATGCCCCTCTACTGGCTCTGCTGGGAAGTGAAAAGCCTGGGACATCTTCGGGCCTCCCAGGGCAGGTCCCCTTGCTCCCATTCAAAGTGAAGGGGCTTGGGGATTGGTTTCTTTCTGTCAGTGCAGGGAAGAGAATGGGTTTCCAATCAAAAGGAAGCCTACTCTCCTCCCCTGGCTAACTTTGCCTCTGCCTTTGACTGACCCTTTGGACAGAGTCAGAAGGCTCACCCTGGAGGATGCTTGCAAATAGCTTTATTGTCTTGCTGAATAGGTGCCTGGACTGAGTCTGGAGCTTCCCACTTGGGCTGGGTGCCCTTTGCTGGGGCTCTTTGCAGTAATGCCCCTGGGGAATGGGCCTAAGAGAAATGGCTGCTGGTGAAAGGGACTATGGGCCATTCAGCACTTCACCAACACCAGTGTTAACTTTTCAGGGATTGAGAGCTGGCTTTTGATTTCCTTTTGTCTTCCTTTGTTGACTTGAGTCTTTGAAATTAGGCAGGACTGCAGACAGCTTGGGGTCTTTCTTATTCTCTCACTTTGACCTGTTGGGTCTGGGCTCTCCCTAGTACGAAACCTCTCTCAGGTAGAGTTTGACCCCAGTGAAATTCGTAGTGGGGAAATGGGACTGTGGCATGGGTGAATTGATTTCATTCAGCCCCTTTAAGAGTTCACTTTATCCTCTCTTGGTTCTGGGCTAAAGGGAATAGAGTCAGGCAAAGTGACTTTCTGCACTGGGTAGAGGGGGCGGGTTAGAGGAATTTTAGTTACAGGTTTCATTGTGAATACCTCTTGGTTTATTACATGGATTTCCCAATAAAAACATTTTTGGCCTGGTGTCCTGTCTTAATCCAGATATTTACCAAGGTCTCCTAAAGTTTGGAACACCCTGTCCGGTGCTCAGTTATGCTGTGGGGTTATGAAAATAAATATGAACTCGTACGCTTTCAAGGAATCTCTGTTTGGAGAGACAAGAACTCTTTGTGAAAAGTTAACAGTAATTACAAATACATGCCTATAGAACTAGAACTAACTCTCTCTCTCTCTGTCTCTCTCTGTATTTGTGTGTGTGTGTGTATAATGTCTAGAATTTTTAGAATTGCAGATGTTAATCATTGGGGAGAAAGTGACAAAGCTGTTTGGAAATGTATCAAAGGAAGGCTGTTGTAACTCCTTAAAGCAAAGGCTCTTTTGTCCTTTTATGAAACATGCCTCTAGGTCATTCTCCTTGTCTTTGGTCAAACTAGTTAGAGACAAATACACTTAAAGATACTTGGATTGTTTTCCCTTATTTATGCAATTTCACACTATATCCCTCAACTGTTGGGGAACAGCTCCTTGTTTTCTGAATTGTGTTAGTGCTCAGTCCAAATGAAACTTTTATGTCCCAGATTAAACTGTTTCAAATCCCCCTGATGCTCCCAGTTTCCCAATTCACATTATCCTCAACTATTCCCCCTGCCTGTCAGTTGCCTAGTCTTGCTGTTCCTCCACAACTCTGAGTGGGACCCCTTCTCTTCTCACATAGTGTCCACTTTCATTTAGATCCTCATCATCTCTGGCATAGGTAACACAACCTCCTAATTGTCCCTAATTCAAATCTCTCACCACTCTGGTCCACCCTACAGGTTGGTGCTAAAGTTATTTCCTTTAAATGTAATTCTGACCATGTGACTCCCCTGCTCAATCAATTGCCATGTTTCCCTGTTGCCCCTAGGATAAAATATAAACCCTTGTTTAGTTTTTAAAGCCCTTCACAACCTAGCCAGCCTCATTGGACAATTGCCCCTCCTCTCATTCGCAGCCATCCAAACTGGCCTCTGTTCCTCTTACATGGCACTCTACCTGCCATCTCTGACTTTACACAAGTAATCCTTTATGCTTGAAATGCATACATGCTCCTGACCTTACAGAATGCCCTTTATCCTTCAAGCTGAGGAGCTTATGAAAGCCTTTTCTTACGCTGTCCACTCTTAGAGCCCCACCCCATCTTTTATATATGAGTGTGTATATATGTATATACATATATACACACACAACTGTTGTATTCATTTGTTCTGGATATAATTACATTTGTACTTGTCTTCCCTAATACAGTGTAAGCTCATTATGAGTAGGGATTGTTACATTTATTGTATTTCTCCCCAGTGCTGGGCACATATTAAGGTCCTTAATCATTACAGATTAATTTTCCTTATTCTAAGGAGAGATGAGAAGGATGAGTCTTCTGATTGATGGTGTCAATTATATTTAGTCAATCGCTTACCTAGAAACACCAGGAACTAAAAAAATTGAAATATTCCTAATGCATGTCAGGGATGGGACCTTTTTTTTTTTTTTTTTTTTTTTTTTACAAACAAGCTGTGCACGCCTGCTACCTGCACTTCCTCCCATCAGTTGTGCTGACACCTGGGGCTAACATGGGTGCTGGTACCATCTTCACCCCCTTCCCCATACTAGCTGATCTGAGATTGCAGGTCTACACTGCTCAGATAGCAGGTGGAATCCCAACTTAAAGAGACTTAAGTATCTTATCTCATCTTCAGCCTTCTTAAGGCCTATCTATGGCTGTGAAGCATATCCTTAAGCATTGTATTATTTATTGCATTTGAATCTCCAGTGCTTAGCACATGTCTGGTATATCAGGCACTTGATAAATGCTTGTTGATTGGTAAGCCTTAAAATTCCCAAGTTATATGTATGTGACCTGTTTCTTTCCTGGTTTATCGCAAAATCACTCAGAGGAAAATTGTTGCTAAAGGTAGGAAATAATGAGTAGGAGAATTTGATCAGTTCACCTCAATTTTCTACAAACTTAAAAAGTAACCCTAATTCATTTGTGAAAGTGAGTAAGGCACTAATATACATACATAGTACACTCTAACTCTGAGGGTGTGAATCTTTCAGTTTTGGTCAGAGATCCCAATTTCTTCTTGCTGGATCCTCGACTGCTAATAGTGCCATCATCCCAATGGCCTCATCAGTCTCAACTTTGGTGTCATCTCTGACTCTTCCTTGTCCCTCATCACACATAATTGATTGATCATCAAGTCTTGACCCTTCAGTCTTTGCAATATTGCTAATAACATCTTGGCCAGTACCACCACATGCTACTACGGCAGAGAACAAGACTTTCCTCTCCCCCAATTTAACCCCAGTTGCAGGTCACAAGTGACTTCCCAGTAGGTCCTGGACATCTATTCTTAGCTGGCTGCCAAGATTCCTATCCCTAGTCCTGCAGGAGATATCCCTGATCCCCAATCCACACTGATCCTAGCATCCACTGTCTTAATGGTTGGGATCATCTTACCCTGCTATTGTTCCTCAAGATCCCTTGGACTTTGCTATTGGCCCTCCTACTTTGCCTGCCAGAAACTAGGTTCCACTGTTTTTATCCTGGCCTTTTCATCTGCCATGAAATGACATGTTTATGTTGTCTCACCCAATTAGAATGTGAGCTCCTTGAGGGCAGAGCCAGTCTTGATTTTTCTGTTTGTATTTATAGCCCTTAGCACAGTATTTGGAACATAGAATATGCTTAATAAATGCTTTTCCATTTAATTATAGTCACCCTACCATCTGACTTATTGCAACAGCCTTATAATTAAAGTCCCTACCTATAGTCCCTATCGAACCTGTCCCGACATGGTGCAGTAGAAAAGCACAGGACTTGAGTTCAAATCCCAGTGCTGTCATTTTACCTTTGTGACCTTGGGTAAGTCATGTAACCTTTATGGCTTTCAATTTCTTCATTTGTAAAATGAGGGTATCGGTTGAGGTGACTTATAAGGTCCCTTCCAACTCTATATCTATGGTCTTATGACCTTCCTAAAATAGGTGCCTCATTCACCTGCTCAGAAATTTCCAATGGTTTCCCCCTTGCTTATAGGAAACAGTCAAAATGCCTTTGTATGGCATTCTAGGCCCTCCCTCAACTGGATCCCAACCTACCTTACCAACTTTCTCTCCTATTGCTCTCCTCTTCACACAGCAAAATTGGATTCTGCACCTCAGTTCTTTCCATTTTCTCCCCTTGGAATGCTTCTGCCCCTACTTCTGCCTTCTCAGGTTAATTCAACAAGCTTTTATTAAGTACCTACAAGTTGCAAAGCACCGTGTCTAAGGAGGTGTTGGAGATAACAAGGACACGGAGCTACATTCTGGGGGAAGCATGCAATAGTAACCACCATTCAGGACCTCCTGAGAGGTGCTCCCTGGAAGTCCTGGACCCAGCCTATAAACATTTACACGGCGATGAAAATGCAACTAATTTAAGGAGGCAGAGTTCTATGGTTTAATCAGACTGGACAGCTTTCTGCTCCCCAAATATATCTTGTGTGTCAGGATGTTTGATTAGGAGCTCGCCTGATCATCGTGAGCAGGAAGGGGGGCTCATACTAGTGTCTAGATCCCCTCCGTCCCAAGACTTTTTGTCTGCTGGAAGTCCTACCCATCTTTTACGTCGTAACTCCAATGCTACTTTCCCTGACTCTTGCCATCATTAACCAAGTTCCCCCCTTCTCTTTAAATGCCCTTATGATGACCCACGGGCTAAATTAGTTTGGGTCTCTTTCCCCTACGGTGCTGCAGGCGGGTGGGCACCAGGCTTTCTCTAAAGGCGTTTCGTAGATGTTCCCAGAAGGAACGAAAGAATGAATGAATGGCCTGGGGCTGCAGCTTTCAGCACCCGGAGCCGGGCCTGCAGTGGGCCGCTCTGCCCGGGTTCCAGGCAAGCGAAGTCCACGTGGCTCCCCGGTCCCACTTCCGGGCGGAACCTTTGTGCTGGTGCGCGGGGGTAGCCGGCGCGGGCGGACAGACGGACAGAGGAGTCAGGGGGCGGGGCGGCGGCGGCGGCGGCTGCGAGGAGGGCGGGCGCTGGAGGGGCCGGGCCAGGCCGGGGCGGGAAGAGTAGACCCGGGGCCTCCCTCCCTCCCTCCCTCCGAGCGCCACGGCCGCTCAGGATGTTCCCCTCTCGGAGGAAGGCGGCCCAGCTCCCCTGGGGGGACAGTAGGTGAGCGCCCCCTGGCCCTCCCTGCACTCGGTCAGCCTCGGCGGTGGGTGACTGCCCGATCGTCTCGCTCGGGCTCCGCGTCTCCCGCTGCCCGGTCTCCCGGGGTCCGAGGCTCCGAATCCGTCAGATGCCGTCCCTGTCTGTGTCCGTCAGACTCTCGTTGCCTCTGTCTCCCGGCCTCCTTCCGCCTCTCTGTGGGTGTGCCGGATCGTGTCTCTGTTAATTCTCTCTCTGCCATCTCCGTCGCATTCGTCTCGTTCTCTGTGTCTCTCGCCCTGTCCTGTCTCTTCGTGTCTGTCTTTGGCTCTTTGTATCCTCTTCTCTCTCCTTCTCCTCCTTCCCCTCTTTTTTCTCCCCCTTCCTCCATGTTTTTATGTCACTCTTTTTTGCCTCAGTTTCTTCTTTCTCTGTTTCTATGTCTGCCTCTCTGTTGACTTTTCTGTCTCTGTGGCTCTTCTATCTGCCTCCCTCTTTTGGTGTGTCTCTCTGTTTTTATGTATCTCTGTGTTTGTTCTTAGCTTCCCACTCCCTTTTTTTTTAATGGCAGACTCAGGCCTAGCACTTGAGTCTTTTGACTTGAGGGTCTGTGCATCCAAATAATCGCACTACATCATACTACCACTCAGGGAATAATCTATAGGGATTCTCAACTTCCTCAACTGAGACAATATTCATCCCATAACTTTAGTTTGATTTGTTTTTCCCTGAATACCTTACTTACTATTTACCTTTATTAAAGATGGGAACTTTGTGAAGGTCAATATGTAGGTGCTTAAAGCTGGAAGCACCTACCAGCAAACAGCTCTCTACCTGGGTAAGAGAATCAGGGTTTAGGAATCCGGCCCCCACAGTGGGGTCCCATGGAGTATGAGTTCTTACTGTGTCCTATCTCCTTCTTATCTCATGCCTATGGGGCCTCTGGCATCCTTGTGGAAAGGAAGTCAGTAGGGCCAAAGTGTCTTCAGGAGATGGAGGAACATAAGGATGTTTTACTTGTTATTTTCCTTTTCCATTTCTCTGTAGTTGCAGGAAAGACTGCACAGTTTGGGTCTGCCAAGAGTCTGGAACAGTTGCTCTTGGCCATAGACTCAGGTAATTGAGGAATTTCACCAGCAAAATGAGGTTAGATTAGATGATTTCTAGTGGCTTTCATAGTTCTCACAGTCCCTGAAGCTTTGTGTTTCTCTGAACTTCCAGCCCTTAGGACTCAGGAGTACCCAGGAGGTTTATGGTGCTAGAGTTGGGGATATAGTAGGGTGGGTAGCTCAGCAGTATTTTAGCTTGCATGGTTCCCTCAGGTACCCGGGTAAGTGAGCTGTGTTTTGTATAACAGCTGCTTGCTTCTTTCCACCAAAAGGTGGGGGAGGCTTCTATGTTCCTCTCCTGTCTCCCCTCCCTGCCCCCAGAAAGAACCTCAAGTGCTGAGGAGATTATCTAGAAGTTCCAACCTTCCTAGGCAACATTCAGGACCTGCATATGCTCCTCCCTATTGGAGGCCAGCTCAGCATGATAGTAGGGGGTAAGTCAGTGCCTCTTCACAGGGGCCATTGCTTGGCCTTTCCCTAAGATTGCATGTGGTAAAGCCTCACTTTTTGCTTCGGGGGCTACAAGTTTCTACATAGTCAGCTGTGCCTGTAAGGAAGATTTACAGTTGATTTGGCTTGTAAGGGAAGTGGCATCTTGTTAAAACCAACTTTGTATTGCCTTATCTTAAGGTGACTGGCATTATGGTTAGACCCTTGAACTTGAAGTCAGGAAAGCTTGGATTCAAATCGTCTCCAGTCCTTATTAGCTGTGTAAATTTGTACAAGTCACATGACCTCTCTGACCTTCAGCTCCTCATCTTTAAACAGGGGTGGTGATAGTATATATGTTATAGGGTTGTTTTGAGATAATGTATGTAAAGTACATTACAAACTTTAATGCATTATATAAATATGAGATATTTAATTATGTATTAAAGTGGGAGTAGCAGGGAGAACCACCTTTGTCTTTGAAAGATCTGTCAATTACCAGATCTTAATATTAAGTCCTAATTATATACATATTACTATTCTAGGTACCTACTAGCATAAGTATAGGGGTGGAAAGAAGAATAAGGCTCTGTGGTACAGTAGAAAGAACATAGAATTTGAAGGCAAGAAGACCTAGGTTTGAAATCAAGGTCTTCTACTTGCTGTCAGTGTGACCTTGGGCAAGTCCCTTTCCCTGCCCTAGGCTTCAGTTTCCTTATCTGTAAGGTCCCTTCCAGCTCTAAATTTTATGACTCAATCTCTGACAAACAATTTATAATCTGCCTGGGAAGATAGACGTGGAAAACAATAAGGGAATTATTAGGAGCTGAACTATGTGCTCCTAATGCTACAATGAGAATTTAATTAAGCAGAGCAAATAACTGAATATTTGCAGGGTCCTTAACCCCTAATAGAATCCCAGAATCTCAGGGTTAGACTAGAATCTCTTTTCTAAGCTAAATGTTGTTGGTTTCTTCAGCCAGACTTCGAATTATGTGATATCAGATTCTTTCACCATCTTGATTGCCCTCCTCTGGACACTTCAGTTTGTCAGTGTCCTTCCTAAAATGTAGCACCTTGAACTGAACAAAGCAGTTCAGATGTGGTCTGACCAGGCCAGGGTCTGGCAGGACCAGCACTTACCTTGTCCTTTAGACTGTGCTTTTTAAATAGAGCCTAAGGTCTCATTTGATGTTTTTGGCTTCTGTATCACACACCAGAGAGTTACACTGACATTGTTGTCCACTGAGATCTGATGATCTGTTTCAGGTCAGAACTTCTTCCTAGTCACAGTTTCCCCATTTTGCTTTTGGGAAGTAATTTTTTGAATCTAAGTATGATGTTTTACATTTATCCTTGCTAAATTTTGTCTTAAGACCTTAGGGTTAGTGATGGAAGGGACATTTTTAGGTCACCAAACCCAACTTCCTCATTAGATTTGTCCCAGGGTTCTAGTTTGTTGAAATCTCTTTTACATTCTAATTTGTGTTAGCTAACTTGCCTACCTGGGATCTATGTCTCAATCCAAGTCATTGATTAGAATGTTAAACCACCATAAGGACAAGGACAGGTCCCTGAAGTATTCATTCCACTAGAGACTTTTCATGTTGACATCAAACCATTAATAACAACTCTTTGGCTCTAGCCATTCAACTGCTTCTGAATCCATCTAATTGTACTGTTATTTAGCCCACATTTACCTATTTGGTCCACAGGGACACCACAAGAGATTTTGTCAAGCACTTTGTTAAAGTCTCGGTCAACCAAATCTATAGTGTTCCATTGAGCTGCCAATCTAGTAAACCTGTTGGAAAGGATATAAGGTAGTCCGGATTGGCCTATTTTTGATGGAGCCATTCTGGCTCTTGTGAAGAGTTTCATTTTCTGAATATCTATTAATTAATTTCTTTCGTAATAAGTTCTAGAATTTTTCAGGAATCAAAGTTAAGCTTATCTATGCCCATAGTTTGCAGTCTTACCTTTTCCCCCTTTTTTAAAAAGTTGAGATGTTTATTCTGCAATCCTGTCACATCTCTCCTGTCTGTATGATCTTTCAGAGATCATTTACAATGAATGCAGTGGATTAGCAATCACATTTTAAAGTTTTGTTTTTGTTTTTTTCTGTATGCTAAGATATTTGTCAGGGCCTGGTGACTTAAACTCAAGGGAAGTTAATTACCTTCTTACTGTTTCCTTATTTATCTTGAGTTTCAGCTCGCTATTAGACATTTCTAGTCTGACCCTTACAATCCAAAAATTATTTTCTTTGGAAAAGAAGATAAAAGCAAAACAGAAGTTGAATAGCTGTCTTCTCTCTGTTGTTCATTATTATCCCATTCACCCCAAGCAGTGATCTCATACCTTCCTTGTCTGTAGTGTTCTCCACTGGCCTTAAATTGTTTTGAACTTTAGAGCTGTGGATAATATTATTATAGAACTTTGCTAACATTTTTGTTTTCATATATCACCTTGTCTTTCCTCTATTTTTAATCTTTATACAAAAATTCCCAGTGTATCTAAGTGCAGTTTTCAGGACTGTGTAAATGTAGCCCCTGTACAGCAAGGGGGTCCCCCTGACTCTTAGCCTTTGGGCTGGATTACTCACCCCAACCTGCCCTCATGTTGGTAGTTCTGGGCCCACCATTCCACCATTTGCTATTCTCCTTCTGGTCTTTGCTGCTGTCCTGCTGGATGCATACACTCCTCTTCTACTTGTAGCAGTGACAAGATCTAATTCACAATAACCCTTAGCAGGGGGTTGGGAAAGGAATATGCTGTTATAATGATGAGAAGTTCCCCTAAGCTGGAGAACTGCCAGGTGTCTCAGATCTTCAAATAGCAGAGAATTTTGCTTTGTCCAGGAACCTCCCAGCCTTTTCTTCCAGCAAAGCAGCAGGCATTTGGTGGCTCAGTGGATAATGCACTGGTCCTGGAGTTAGGATGCCCTGAGTTCAAATTCAGCCTCAGGCATTTAGTCACTGTGTGACCCTGAGCAAGTCACTTAACCTCTGTTTACCTCAGTTTTCTCAATTGTAACACTGGGATGCAGCACCTACTATGTAAGGTTGTTGTCAGAATCAAATGAGATACTATTTGTAAAAAAAAAAATGCTTAGCACAGTGCCTGGTACATAGTAGGCACTATATAAATGCTTATTCCCTTTCCTTCTCCAAAGCAAAGGTCATAGCAGAACTTCTCAGGTTGGCTCTCTTGACAATGCAGAAAAACCCAGCAAGCTCTTCATTCAACAGGATTCTTTGTGTTTCATTCAGCTTTCAGCTAATCAAGTCTATTCTCGCTGCAAATCATTCTTTCCCCCTCTCTTTTCACCCTCTCATCAGAACTGGTGATAGAGGGCAACCAGGCACCTCTGCGATTTAACCTTTTACAAGCTGTAGATGGTGGGGGCAATAACTTAAACTGGAGCAGGTCTCAACTCTTTTTCAGTCAGCCGGCTCCTGGCATTTACTTTAGCAAAGCCACAGAACAATGCCTCTCTTCCAATCCGCAGACTCCTAGCAAGGCAGCTGAAGCCTTCCTGTCAGCCAATTCTGCCCGGCTTCTTAGCTCAGTTCCTAACAGTTAGCATCTTTCACTATTCTTCCAGCCCTCATAACTTTGTCTAATGCTCCAAATCAGAGTCTCCTGGTGGTCAGTGACTACTCTTTCTCTTAGAAGATAAAACATGAAATCTGCCTTTCTGTGCATTCTGAACCCATTAGTTCTTTAATTGTGCCATAGTTTCCAGACATTCACTTGACTTACTACTTTGTGAGTTAAAACCTTCCAAACTTGAAAAACAGCCACATGTCAATTAGCTGAAGGATCATAGTGCACTGTGACCTCAGGCATTTCTCTGTCCTCAAGTACAGCCATCTGAGTCTATCTATTCCCTAGAACAATCTGTCTTTCCTTCATGTTTGTCTTGAAACTATGTTTCTTCTGACTTGGATTTGTTCAGTTTTTCATACACAAAAGTTCTCTTTTTGCCCTTTTCAGCACTCCAACTGTTCACCTATGAAAGGAGAAATACAGAAGTAATGATGGAGATTTCTGTCTGCTTCCATCAAATTAGTCATAATTGTGTGTTTGTGGTGAGGGAAAAATAAGACATGGATCCATAATACGTGGCAGAATTGAGTGGTTTAATTCAATGTAAATCTAACAAGTGCTTATTCAGTTCAGCAAACATTTATTAAGTGCCAACTATGTGCCAAGCACTGGGGATAAAAAGGAGGCAAAAACTGGTCTTGGTCCTTACGGAGTTTACAGCCTAATGGGGGAGGGAACAACATACATACCAATATATACAAAGCAAGCTATATACCATATAAATAGGAAATAATTAACAGAGAGAAGGCACTAGAATTAAGAGGGGTTGATGAAGGCTTCCTGTAGAAGGTAAGATTCCATTTGGAACTTACAAGAAGTCAGGGAAGTTAGAGTGAAGGAGAAAGAGCATTTCAGGCATGGAAGACCGCCAGAGAGAATGTCAGGCTTGAATGCCCTGTTTATATTTCATTTGGTAGACAATGGGAAGCCGCCTCAGGGTTTTAAATTGATTGGTGACCTGATCGAGGAGTGCATTAAGAATCTGGAATTGGAGGGGGAATGCCTATGAGGCTGGGAGAACAACCTGGAGGCTATTATTACAGTAGTCTAAGAGAGGCAATGAGACCTTGGTTGCTGTGAGATCAGAAAGGAGGGGCCAGATTAAAGTGTTGGTTTGGTGGTACAATCCCTAAGATTTGTCACCTGATTAGATGTAAGGGATTGAGAAGAGTTAAACATGGCTAAACTTTTTAAACTACATGACAGGGAAAACAAGAAGTTGAGGGATGGGTAAGTTTTTTGGGGAAAAAGACAGTGAATTCAGTTTTGTATTGTTTGTACTCAGTTTATACTGACTTTGAGGTGCCCGAAGGAGCTCCAGGGGGTGATATGCAGCAAGCAAGTGTCAGAAGATATGTACCTATGCTATGGGATTTCAGATAGTGAATGGCTGAATTGTTTCTAGCTGCAGAAAATCAGGGAAGATCTCACCAAGGAAGGTGCATTTGAATGGGGCTTTGAAGGAAGGGACATATTTTGACAAGTGAAAGAGCATTCTAGCTTCAAGTTAGGCTGAACCTTCTGCGGAAGTGAGAGAGTATGTGGCTAGGATAGTGTGAGACAACAATGGAAAGGTAAATTGAGACCAGATTGTGGAGAGATTTGAATCCTAATTTGAAGGGTTTGGCCCTTGGGCATTTGGGAATCACTAAAGGATTTTCAGCAGGAGAATGATATGGTTTAGACTTTAGATGGAGAAGATGACTCTGGCATCATGTACAGAATAGAGTGGAGGAAGAAAGACTAGAGGATGATTAGGAGGCTATCATAATCATCTAAGCAAGATGTGATAAGGGCCTGGATCATTTGGGGAACCATGGGAAAAGATGGGCTAGATTTGAGACACTGCTGAGGTGGAGTCTTCGGTGTAGTAGGAGTTCAGAGAAGAGAGAGCTCATTATGAGGCGGGTTGTTTAGAGAAGATGCATGAAGGAGGTAGCCTTTGAGGGGCTGTGTCTTAAAGGATAGGTAGGGTTCAGATGCGTGTTCTGGGCTGGAGGAAGAGCATGAACAAAAGTGTTTGAAGCTGTTTTGCACTAACCTTCCAAAGCCTCCTGAGCAGGCAAGTGTTACTAAGGAGAGCCTGAGACACAGAGCAGAAAAGCTGGCAGTGGTGGTGCTGATGTCCTGATGCATGAGGAGAGCCCCAGGCTCCGGGCTTAGTAGGCTTCCATCCCTGATGGCCCATCCCCACCTCTTGAGCCTTGAGTCTTCAGCTCAGCTACTTCTTCCCTGATTCTAACCTTTACTCCTCACCCAGGTCTTTCCTGCCTCGGAAGTACAGCGTGTTCCAGCTATTCTTTGTGTGCCTGTTCCTGGCCTTCCTGTCCTTGCTCTGGCTGCAGCTCAGTTGTTCGGGTGACATGAGCCAGGCAGGGCAGGGGCAGGAGCTTGTCAGCCCTCCAAAGGCCTGCCCCTTTGAGCCTCCAGTCTCTTTGGAGGAGGACCCCTCCTGGGCGCCCCACCGCCTCGCAGTGCTGGTGCCATTCCGTGAACGCTTTGAGGAGCTTCTGGTCTTCGTGCCCCACATGCACCACTTCCTGAACAAGAAAAAGATCCGACACCACATCTTTGTGCTCAACCAAGTGGATCACTTCAGGTAGAACAATGAGGCTGTCCCTCTGCCCTGTGGTGGAGAAGGTGTGGGCACAGGAAAAGGGAGACAGAAGTAGAGGAAAGAGCGTTTCCAGGCCGCCTTGGCAGTTGCCTTCTGTTTCTGGTTACGGTGGTCTTCTTTTCCCCATCTGTTTTCCTCAGATCTTTCTTTGGGCTTATGCTGCTCCCCAGGAATGACTTGGGCTAGGTCCCCACTGCTGACCACCTCCAGGAGCCATTCAGAGGCTTACAGAGAGAGATGAGAGAGGCAGCCTGATGTCCTTGGAAGGCCAGAGCTGAGTGCTAGTCCCAGCTCTGCTGGTGTAGTGGGAAAAAATTAGATACAGAGTTAGAAGACTGGGAATTAAATCCTGGCTCTGTAACTTGGTACTTTTTTAGCCTTGGGCAAGTCCCTTAACCTTTCTGGGACTCAGTTTCCTCATCTATAAAATGAGTGGACTGGACTAGATAGTCTCACAGGTCCCTTCCTGGCATCAATGTTCTGTGGTTGGATCCTTAAAGTCCCTTATAGCTCTAATGCCTATGATCCTGTGAATTTACTGATTATGTGACCTTGGGCAAGTCACTAACCTCCTTCAACTGGTTTCTTCATCAGCTTAAATAGGGATAATAAACCTTGTCTCACCTCTCTGTTGGGATTGTCACAAGGATTAAATGAAATAATGAATATAAAAGCACCCTGAAAACTATGACGTACCCTTGTGCCCCCCAAGACTTCTTCCTCCCGCAGTGAGTGCCCACTATGTAACTGCTCACATGCCCTCCTGTCCCCTGGAAGGTTTAACCGGGCATCGCTGATCAATGTGGGCTTTCTGGAGAGCGGTAACAGCACTGACTACATAGCCATGCATGACGTGGACCTGCTGCCCCTCAATGAGGAGCTGGACTACAGCTTTCCTGAGGCAGGGCCCTTCCATGTGGCCTCCCCAGAGCTGCATCCCCTCTATCACTACAAGACCTACGTGGGTGGCATTCTGCTTCTCACCAAGCAGCATTACCAGTTGGTGAGGCCTGGGCCCTTCCCTGGGGAGGCAGGTGGAGAGATAAGAGTCATTCCCCCATAGAAGCTGGCTGTCATACATAGAGACCTGGGAGGTGGGGGCCCCAGTAGGCAACCTGGAGATTCCCAGTGTGCAAGGTTTTAAGTACTCCTTGCTAGCCCGGGCAGGGGAGGAAGACTAGGGCTGTGGTCTGAAAAGCAAGAAAGATCAGGTTGAGTGATACCATCTTGTTTCTATCAGTGCAACGGGATGTCCAATCGCTTCTGGGGATGGGGCCGGGAAGATGACGAGTTTTACCGGCGCATTAAAGGAGCCGGTCTCCAGGTAATATTGCCCAACTCCAGGCTCTCTTATTCCCCTGTCTATATCCTCAGTAAAGCACAGCTGGCTTGAGGCCTTGTTTCTGCCCTCATCTAGCACACTCCCTCTTTCCTTGGAGCTGTCTGCATGGTTGAAAAAAACTGGGGGGTCTAAGAGTCACGCATAGCTGTGTGACCTTGGACTAATCACTTACATTCCCGGGTCTCAGCTGGACTAGATGACCTCTAAGGTCTGTCTTGGTTTCAGTGTTCTCTCATTGTTTTGTGGGGATCCCTGCCTTGCCCCTTCTCTGGACTTTTGTCCAATTGATCTAATGAAATATTGTTTATAAAAGGCAAAGTGATATAATAATTGTAACAATAACTCCCATATGATTTTCCTCACCATAATCCTGTGAGGTAGCTAGCATTTTGATATTTTCATCTTAAAGAAGTCGGGGCTTACGGAGGTTAGTTAAGTTGTCTGGGAGCACTTCCCTAGGCAGCGGTAGAGCTGTCCCTTGAAGCCAAGTAACCCACAATCATAGATTTCAAAGCTGGGAAGGATCTTTGGAGAGGACCCTAATTTTAGAAACAAGAGAACCAAGCTTCAGGCTGTGATTGCCTAGGGTCGCTGACCTCCTCAGATTATCCACATTCAGTGTTCTTTCCCTTCTACTGCTCTACCTGACTCCAGGTCCATTGCTCTTCCTACTGCACTGAAGTCATGCCCGTCGTCTTGGACAGGGTTTCAAGGAGGAGACTGTGTAGAAGTGGGAGGGGGTCAAATTTGAAATTGCTCTGTCTTGGTCTTCTCTAGCTTTTCCGTCCCTCAGGAATCAAAACTGGGTATAAAACATTCCGCCACCTACATGATCCTGCTTGGCGGAAGAGAGACCAGAAACGCATTGCAGCTCAGAAGCAGGTACTCTGGGTTCCTGAAGAGGGTTGATGATGTCGGGGTGGGGGACATGGGGAGGGAAGGCAGGTGCCTGGAAGAGACCCCCCTTCCACGTGACCCAAAAGGGGCCCAGATGATTTTCTGTACTTTTTGCTTCTCGCTTACAGCATATAGGCTCATAGAGCTGGAAGTGGTCTTAGAGATCATCTTGTCCAACCTCCTTCCTCATTTTACAGATGAGAAACTGAGGCCCAGAAAGATCACTTGACTTTTGAAGGTCTCACAGATAGTAAATAGCAGAGCTAGGTTGTTAACCCGAATCCACTGATTCCAAATCTGGTAATTCTTCCAAAGCAGAGCTGATTTTCTCCTCTCTTGACCATAATGCTTGGACCCTCTTGACCTCAAGGAAGGGAACAGGTCCTTCCCCAGAGACCCCTGTGCTATTCTTTTCAGCTGTGGCTGGTCTGAGGGAGTTGAGTGCCACCTTGCATGGTTCCAGTATCTCAGACCCCTTGGGTCACTGGGAGAGTCCTGGTAGGGCTCCTGTGATCCAGGTCAGGAATTTGAGCGACTCTTCTTTTTCCCCAGGAACAGTTCAAGCTGGACCGGGAAGGGGGGCTGAATAGTGTACGTTACCATCTTGATTCTCGTACCCTGGTGTCAGTAGCCGGAGCACCCTGCACAGTTCTCAACATTGCTCTGGACTGTGATGCAGCTGACACACCCTGGTGCGCATTTGACTGAGGGGAACATGGCTAGCACCATCTCAGTCTGCTTGGCTGGTGTCTGGCCCCGGGAGAGCGTCATTACTGCTGGAGGGATTCCTTCAGTGGGTGGGGCTGAAGCTAAGGTACGAGTAGGACCCAGCACCCAGTTAGAAGTGGCCTGGCTTCAAGTGATGGGAGGAGATCTGAGCCACCTTGGCTCAGCTACGTAGCTGTGCTTCTTCTGGAGACTGATGCAGCCTGAGGGAAAGGTCCATAAGTACTCTTGGACCAAATACTCAGTTGTTATCCCTGCCCTATGGGCAGTAAAAAGAGATTGGAGATTGGAAAGAGGCTGGGGTGCAGAATCTTTGACTCTTTAGTTCCATGGGCTTGTTATACCTGGCCTCCTTCCCCAGCAGGAGGCTCTTTCTGTCTTTTGGCCTCTTTTGCCCTTGTGCCCAGTACAGGTACGTGCACATGATAGGTGCTTAATAAACATTTGAGTTTGGGATTTTCAGCTTCACTTTCCTATTAACTCAGCAGTCCACCTGCTGGGGCTCTCCACAGGCTCCTCTTGACTTCATACCACTCCCTGGTTTGGGAGACCCTTCTTGTGTCTTCCATGGCGAAAAGCCAAACTGAGGGAGTGAAAGTACACGTTGTGTTGAGGGGATTTCGAATCAGGGTATCCCCTCAAGTCAACCTGGCCTTCACTCTATTGTCGGGCCCATGAAGCTTCCAAAGACATCCTGAAGACCACGCTGTCCTCTACCTGAGGGAAGAAGGAGTCAGATGGAAAGTGCTCCTGCTCTTCTGTCTCAGGGCTGTCACCTTGTTAAGATGGGATGGTAGGCTGGATTTGGTTTCTTGCCTTGGGGAAATTTCTTAAGAAAGAGGACAGTTGATTGGCAGCCCAGCATCATAAAAGCAGATGGTACACACTGCTCAGGCCTCCTTCCTGAGCCAACTTGAACTGTTCTTGGAAAGAAAGAAGAATTGTCAAATTCTTGATCTGATTTCTGGAATCAGAAGACCCTGTCTAGGAGGTTTCCAGGGTGCTAAGAGGGATGAGAGCCTGGCACCCATCAAAGCCCCAGCGTACCAACCAGGATGCTTAGATTCCTTTGAGTGTGAATCCAAGCTCTGCCATTTAGTAGCTGTTTGAGTCTGGGCAAATCACTTAACCTCTCTGAGACTCGGTTTTCTGATCTGTGAAATGAGGGTGATAATACTTGCTCTGCCTACCTCAGAAGGTTTTTGTGGGGCAAAAAAGCACTTTATTAAATCTTAATGAATAGTTGTTATTATTATGTAGGTCCTGTCTCTTTTATTCTCTGAAAGACTTCTACATTACATTCTCAGCATTGGTTAGTGTATTGAATGAAAAAGTATTTAAGGGAATCTGTTTTGCCCTTTTATAGAAGTGGGGGACTAAGTCTCAGGACAGGTGAATTGGATTGCCTGTGATTCAGCATTCAGGTTATCAAGCAGCATTTATCAATCAGTTTGTGGTGGGTTAAAAAAAATAAAAGACATTGTGTCTACCCTTAGGGTGCTTCCTGAAGGAAGCCAGACTAACATAGGGTGAACAGTGGAGTCCCAGCCACAGGCAGAATATGGTCATGTGCTGGGGAGTGGGATACGCCCAGTGAAGTGGTAGGGAAGAATGAAAGGGGTCAAACTGGAAGGATTAGAAATGCAATTCCATACAACAACCAAGTATTTTAAAGGCTCTTGGGAAGGATACAAAAATAAGTAAGATATATGACTTGTCCTCAAGGAGCTCCGTGGTTTAGTGGGCATGTAAGACATGGACACTAATAATAATAATAACAACAACAACTAACAGTTATATAACATTTATAGTACTTACCATATGCCAAGCACTGTACCAAGCCCTTTATAATTATTTAATCCTCACAACAACCTTGGAAGATAGGTGCTGCTATTATCCCCATTTTACAGATGAGGAAACTGAGGCAAGCAGAGGTTAAGTGATTTGCTCCCCAGGTCACACAGCTAGTAAGTGTCTGATTAAAATATCATTGTAATATAAAAGAAGAGTTCATCCTAGGCGAGGTGGGTATGAGCAGACATGCAGGAACAGGAATGAGCATTATATTTTGGGGGGGGCAGTAAGGAAACCTTGTTAGACAGAGAATCACACAGGGTAGTCTGGCAATGGTGGGAGGTGCCTGGAAGTAGGGAAACCTTTCTAGAGACTCTTGCAGGTGTGGTAATAAGTCCTGAACTAGAGTGGAGACCCTGGGGATGGGGAAGAGGGAGTGGATCCAAGAGACAGCACAAGTAAAAAATGGACAGAACTTAAGGACAGATTGGCATTTAGAGGATGAAGGAGAACAACTCAGAGACAGCTGAAGCTATGCCTGGGGAGGGGGGGTGGACTGCAGTTGGGTATGGGAAGAGAAGGATGAGGCACTGAAGGGGACGAGGGAGGAAGGGGGGGAGTGATGTCATCGTGGAGGCCAAGGGACCAAAAGAGGGGGCTGATCAGTGGTGTCAGCTGCCATAGAAATATCAGGGAAGAGGAAGACTGGAAAAGGCCATTGGCCTTGTCCATTTAGGAGGTCATGCATGAGAGCAGTTACGGGTGGGCAGTGGAGGCAGGGATCAGATCAGACGTAACCAAGGAGGAAATAGAGAGGAAGTGGAGGTGGTGGAATTAAAACACTCATTCAAAAAGTTTAGCAGCAACATACATGAGAAATGGGAAGATAGCTTGAACAGCCAAGTGATTTTTTTAAAGGTGGAGCAGATAGGCATTTTCAAGGGAAGAGGGAGATGCTGGAAAGAGGTGTGGGAAATGAATGATTGAAGGAATTTAAAAGCATTTACCAATACTTACCATGTGCCAAGCACTGTGTCAGGTACCTAGGATAAAAATACAAAAATCAAGACTGTCCTTGCCTTCAAGAAGCTTATTTCTTTTTTTTTTTAATTTAATTTTTTTTTTGGCAATTGGCGTTAAGTGACTTGCCCAGGGTCACACAGCTAGTGTCAAGTGTTTGGTCTAAGGCTAGATTTGAACTCTGGTCCTCCTGACTTCAGGGCTGGTGCTGTATCCACTGCACCACCTAGCTGCCCCTGAGAAGTTTATTTCTTAATAGAGGAGGAGAGCATTTATGGAAGAGTGGTGTCCAGGAGATGGGTCTTGTGGTTTAGGAAGTCACAGGTATGACAGTTGTCATTAGGACAATTGATTGACAGGAATGGTAGTGTCAATTTGATTACTGTTCCCAGAGCAAGAGGTGGAAGGGGGTGAAGGGGAGGTATGATGAGGTGGCTTAGTGGAGAGATAGAGTGCATCACAGATGAGTCTGAGGGTGAATAGAAATGGTGCACTCTTCAATGAAGAGTGCAGACCCCTTGCTTCCTTGGCGGGTGGAGGGAAGAAGGGTGAAGCCCAGCAATGACAGGGAGATGATCCATGAGATCAAGGTCCCAAAGAGATGAGAAAGGACAGGATCTTAGGCACAGGGGTATAGGGGGGTTTGGGGGGGGGTGGAACAGGATCTTAGCCTTGAAGTAGAGAAAGCCTTTCCTGATGCCCATGGCTATTTAGTCCTATCTCCCTCCTCAGACTATTTTGTACTCACTGTCTGTGTAAATATTGACTTTCCTTAGTGAAAGGTAAACTTTTTGAAGGTGGTGTTTTTTGTCTTTGTATTCCCAGCACAGTGTACATAGTAGGTTTTTAATAAATGCTCTTGAATAGAACCTTTGAATTCTACCTCTGACCCTGGAGAGATGGGTGTGGTTCTGCTGATAATACTTTTTGTCTATTTCACAGTAGCATCCATTACTTACTTGATTGTCACAATGACTTGTCAGGTAGGCAGGGCAGAAATTTGTGACAGATGAGGAAACTGAGGCACAGTGAAGTTTGTGACTTGCCCATGATTACACAGCTGGTATAAGGCGCAGCTAGGATGCAGCCCCAGACCTTCCAACTCCATGTCTAGTCCTCTTTCTGCTGCTCCACATTGCTTCACAATACTAACATGTAGACCAAAGGCTTTAATCTCTGGTTTTCTGGTTTTCAACACAACTGAAGGAAAAACTTAATGGACTCTGTTTTCCAATGTCCATATAATGCCTGTGTATCCTTTCCATTACAGGCAGCTGGATGGTGCAGTGGAGAGAGCACTAGACCAGAATTTAAATGTGGCCTTAGACACTTGCTAGTTCTATAAGCAGGGCAGCTAGGTGGAACGGTGGCCTGGAGTCAGGAAGACTTGAGTTTAAATCCAGCCTCAGACACTTACTAGCTTTGTGTCCTTGGGCAAGTCACTTAACCCTGTTCCTCTTAGTTTCCTCATTTGTAAAATGAGCTGTGGAAAGAAATGGCAAACCACTCTAGTATCTTTGCCAAGAAAACCGTAAATGGAGTCATAAAGGCATTGACAAAATTGAACAACAACCCTGAACAAGTCACTTAACCTGTCTGCCTCAATTTCCTAACTGTGAAATGGGGATAACAGCACCTACCTCCCAGGGTTGTTGTGAGGATCAAATGAGACAATATTTGTAAATTGCTTAGCGCAGTGCCTGCCACATACTAGGTGCTTAATAAATGCTTATTTCCTTCCCTTCTTCCTCCTCTGCCCAAACCTAGCGAACTCCTTAGCATTTTCTTTTTGTTCCTGTCAGCACAACACATATATCCAGCACCAGATCTCCCTACCACCACTTGCTTTCTTTACATATATTCTTGAGCTGCCTTTTGAGGAAGTCATATCATCAGGCCAACTGGGTCCATTACAAATTCATATTCTCTAATCTCAAATGAACCCTTATTGCTGAATGACAAAATTTTTATTCTTTATTGACCTTCTATATCATTTCATTCAGTGGTTTTTCCCAGCCTCTTCTCAAACCCTCAATACCTTGGCATGTTCCCCTCTGTGAGCATATGTCCTTATCTGCTACTTTGCTCAGAAATTAGAAGCCATCCACTATCAGCTCCCTCTTTTCCCCTAATCCGTACCCCTAAACATCTTTATCTTGTTACCTATCCTTTCCTTTATTCCTGTCTCTCAGGAAGAGGGAGCCCTCATTCCTTCCCAAGACCAACACTTCTGGCTGTGCCCTCTGTCCCCATACTCTCCTGTTTCCTCCAGGGGCTTTCCTTATCAATTATTCCCTTTCTAGATTTCTCTCTGACATATTGTTCTTATGTGATTGTGTCATTCTTTCATACTTCTATTTCTCTTCACATTTAAAATATATTTTTCTCAGGACAAAGCACATGACATAGGGAGTGCAAATGATATTATCTCCATTTTACAGATGAAGAAGCTAAAACTTAGAGAGGTAAAGTGAATATGGAATAGTGGAAAGATCACTGGGTTTTCAGCCAGATAATCTGTGTTCTCAGCCCATCTTCACTACTTACTATCTATGTGACCTTGAGTAAGTCATTTATTTAACCTCACTGTGACTGTTTCCTTCCAAATGAATAAATTGGACTAGGTGACCTCGAAGGTCCCGTCCAGCTCTAATTCATATGATCTAATTGACTTGTTCAAATTCCACACATCCTGACTTAGCTTCCATTTTCTATATATATATTCTTGAAATCTTAAGTTGGCTAATGACTTCCTTCTGCACCCCCACAGCCTTCATTAGACAACTTCCCCTTTCTTCCTTTTCAGAATTGTTTGTATTGTCAGAATTTCTTTCTTTTGAGCATCACATCTCTCTTGGGCTAACTTCCCCCGTGGTATTTTAAGCCACGGAAGCCCACCTATCTTTTCTCTGAACTCGGAAATCTGCTCACATCTCAAAGCATTAGACCATACCCGATTTTCTCTCATATTTATTACTAATACAATAGAAGGTCACTTTCACCAAAAAATGTTAAAAGAACTTCTAGATGTGAGTGCTTGGCCTTTTGTCAGTGAATTTTGGAAAAACCATAGAAAATGGGAGAGAGGCCATAGGACTGGAAATAGGTAGATCCCCTGATTTTCAAAAAAGAGGAAGAGGGTAGATTAAAAAAACAACAACATTAAAATGGTGAACTTGACTTCAAATCTGGATAAAATTCTAGGATATGTTATTTAAAGGATGATTTCTGATCATTAGAAGATAAAGAGTGATTGCTAAGAGTCACCACAGGTTCAGTAGGCTAACTGGTTAGTTCATGCCAGGCTATTCTCATTTCCTTTTTGAGTTGAATTTGAGGGCTACTATAGCAGCGTTGCTGTTGTTCTGTTACTTCAGTTGTGTCCAACTCTTCTTGACCCCATTTGGGGTTTTTTTGGCACTAGAGTGATTTGCCATTTCCTTTTCCAGCTCATTTTACAGATGAGGAAACTGAGGCAAACAGGGTTAAGTGACTTACTCAGGGTCACAGAGCTAGTAGGTGTCTGAGGCTGGATTTGAACTCAGGTCTTCCTGACTCCAGGCCCAGCATTCTGTTGACTGAGCCACCTAGCTGCCCATAACTATAGCATTAGATAGAGAGAATGACACATCCAGGATTTTAGAAAGGTGATAAACAAGTTTCTTACGATGTCCTTGTGGATTAGAGACTGGATAATACAGTTATGAGACATTGCATCTAGTTGAATGACAAGTCATAACCAGGCAGTGATTGTCCATCTTGGTAATGTTTCCATGGGAAGAGAAGAAAGTGCCAAGGACCAAGCCCAAGATGAAGGAGCTCCAAGTGATGGTGAAATATACCTGGGCCAGCAACAGCAGCAGTGGGAGAGCAAGGCAGCAGTAGCATTTGGGAGTTCAGAAAGCTAAGCTAGGAGTCCTGCCCTTCTGGCAACATAGATACTGAACTAGAATTGAGGCTGAGCCCCCGGAAATGCATGGAGGACTCCAGATTTCATGACAGACAACCAGGAGACCATCACTGAAGAGCACAGGCCAGAGTTGCCCAGAAGTCCATATGCCACCACCAGGCCCCTAGGGAGCTCATTAGTTATAAGATCCATTAAGCTATCCCCCTTCTGACCAGGAACCAGTCTTTTTTTCCTTCTTTTTTCTTTCACTTGCTTTTAAAAAGTGATAATTTTGGTGTTGGGCCAAGAAAATATCAACACTGAGGTGGGTCTTTAAAGGCCTGTCACAATGATCTGTTCGTGGCCCTATTCTGTTCAACATTTTGATCACTGGATGGAAGCACAAATGACACTTATCAAATTAGCCAGGTACATCAAGGTATAGGGACACGTTGGATAATAGAATCAGCATCCAAAAAGATCTTGAAAGGCTGAAATGATGAGTCAAATCTAGTGGAATTAAATTTAATAGAGATAAACATAAAGTCCTACATTTGGATGAAAACAATTGCCAAAGTATAAGATTTAGGGGTTGTACAGGGGTAGGTGGTGCGGTGTGGATCATAAGTCAATTGTGTAACATGGCAGCAAGACAATCACACAAAACAATTTTGCTCTTAAACCTGTGCTTCCAGAAGGACAAAAGTGGGGGTCCTTCTGTCATGGGTCCTGATCAGGCCACACCTGGAATGTATTAGGAAGGTCACTGACAAACTGGAGGTGGGGGGAGGGGTGCTGACTATCTGCTGGAGGAGAGGCCTGGAAAATACAAGGATCGTTGATGAAACTGGGGATGAAAAGATGAGATGGGGGAGAAGGATGTGGTCACTGTCTTCAAGCTGTTTTCCTTGGTTCCACAGGGCAGAGTCGTGCGTGAGCTGAAAGTTTCAGTTCTAGTGGAGCTAGGAGAAAAAAACCTTCCTTACAATGAGAGCTGCCCCAAGGCCGAATGGACCGATTTGGGAGGCTGTCATGGGAGGACTTCAAACCAGGATGTTGTAGAAAGTTGTGCAGGTTGGACTAAATCACCTCCGAAGTTGCTTCCAGCCTCTAGAGGGTGAGATTCTGAATTCTGAAACAGTCTCAGAGGAAGGGAAGCTGAATTATTGGAAGGAAGGAAGATCCTTGTCAGGATGAAACTGTGGCAGGACAAGGTGGTGCTTGTTGGATGGAGGTGGCGGTGGCCGCTGGGATCTGAGGGGAGGAGCCCTAGGGGGAAAGCGAGTAGCTGTCAAGTCTGGGACTGGAAAAAAACTAGAGAGCCGGGTTGTGCGTGTCTTGCGGGAGAGAGGGCTCGGGGGAACCCTGGGGTGGATGGGCGGGCGGTAACCAGCCCCCTTCCCCTCCCTCGGGGCGGGCTGGCGCATGCCCCCTAACCCGCGGTGCTGAGTGCGGATGCAGCGCAATCGTGGCCCAGGAGCCCGGAGGGAAGCGGCCAGGGTCAAGCGTACTTTCCCGGCTTCCATCATGTTCATCTCCGGCCGAAGAGGCTTCTCCATCGAGGCGCTCGTGGGTACCTCTACGGAGCCGTTGCTGCGCCCCGCGCCCGGCAGAGCCTGCGCCTCACCAGCTTGGGGGGCTGCTCGCCTGTTGGTCCCAGAGCCTTCCGCTGCCCCGGACCGCGGAACCGGTGGTCGCCTGGGTCCGCCCCCGCCCGGCCCCCGGGACCTGTGCGGTTGCTGCCCCTGGCTTTTCCGGAGCCTCTTGTGGACGCCGAGCTTCCCGGGTGAGTGCGACAGAGCCTCGGGGAGCGCGCCCTGTCGGGGAGGCAGCTCTGGGGGAAAGCGCTGGACTTGCATTGTCCCGCCTCGCACCGTCATCGTGGGACCGTGGGCAAGTCATGTCACCTCTTTGCGCCTTAGTTTCCCCATCAGGGGGGTGGGGATTGTGTGTGGAGCGGGGTGGTGGTGGAGAAGGAGGAGAAAGGGTTTGGGCTAAACCTCTAAGCAAGCTCTTCCATCTATGACAGTCTACTTCTGGTAACCGGGACACTGCTGACCCGATAGGGAGAGCAGGGGGTGCCTCTGGCCAGGGAAGTGAGCCTGGGTTAGGTGGGGACCGCTCCTCTGGTCGCGGGATAGAGAGAGTTGAGGCGGACGAGATCCTGTAGCCCCTCTAACCGGGAGCTGGGCACTTTTGATGGGGCGGGGCTGCACAATCAGCTTAGGATAGCAGCCCGAGCCGCGGAATAGCAACTTAATTTCCTTTTTTACCTCCGATCTTGCGGGGGGAGGCAGTTCTAGTGTTACTATTTCCATATTACAGACGAAGTAACTGAATTTCAGAGAGGGGAACATACTTGCTCAAGGTCACAAAATACACCAAGTAGCCGATCGCGACTCAGTCTCTTTCAAAAGCTGGTTCGCATTAGAGCTCCCTCCCCGACCCTGCGGGGCAGAGCAGAAGAACTGGTAGTGGTTCTGCGGTCCACTCTGGGGATGAAAAGTTTCACCTAGAATCTGGCTTTACTCTTGGGTAGCAGGGGGTTTATCTATTTGTATACACATAGTGCAAAGGGGGAGGGAGGGAAAGAGAGGGAAGGAATAAATGTGATTCGGAAAGGGGGCTGGAGATCAGGGTCCTGGCCAGGGATAGTACCAAAGGAGAGAGTTGCCTTTCTTTTGCAGTTGTAGAAAGGGCGTAATGGAAACTGGGGGGAGGAGTATCACTACTTTTGGAAGAGCCGGTTTCCAAGGCTCCCTCCTTCAGGTCACCGAAGTAGCCTTCAGCCTGAGTCAGTGTCTGGGCTCCAGTAAGAACACTGGTCACTCACTGCACAGATCCTCCTGTGACTTGATAACTCTGTAGGCAGGAATACACCTTTCTGGAAACTGGAGACAATGCTTAAGCATCACCCTACCAAAGCTCAGTACTAATGATTGCTATTTCTATAATGATTTCAGGCTTGTGAAACATTTTCTTCCCTAAAAGCTTGGGAGGCAGCTGGGGCAAATATGATACCCATTTTGCAGATGAGAAAAGTTTCAGTGATGTTAAGTGACTTGTTCAGGGACACAAAGCTAGTATCAGAACCCTGAAGTTACCACACTAAGAAGGAAGAAGCAACTGGCCAGGTCCATGCATAGGCAGACTGGTGAACCAGGGTCCTAGAGTATCATGAATCCCCCCGACAGCCAATGTCTATCCCAGGCAGCAGTTGGCATTATGTGACTTGCCCAGGGTCACACAGTTAGTAAGTGTCAGGTGTTTGATCTGAGGCTGGATTTGAACTCAGGTTCTTCTGTTTTCAGGGCCAGTGCTCAATCCACTGCTCCACCTAGCTGGCCTTCCTAGAGCTATTCTAACAGAGGCTAGACAGCTTCCTTTCCTCTTCTTATCTTCAACTCCAATCACTGTCTACTGCACTGCACTGGAATCTCAAATAATACAGATCATTTAGACCCAGGCTTCCCTCATCTGAGGTTCATTAACTCCCTTTTTGACATAGGTAATTGGAAGTGGTGAGAGTGTCTCAGAAATATTGGCAGAACCTGGGAACATCCATTCCCAGTCTGCTCCTCTCCTAGTGTGCCCTTCATTTTCCTTTATGGAAGCAATAAAAATGGGAGCCAAGAACTAGCTTATAGGGGTGGTTATAGGACTTAGAACTGAAAGGGTTTTTAGACACCATGCAGTCTAACACCCTTATTTTACAGAAGAGGAAACAAAGGCCTAGAGAGGTTAAATTGTCTTCAGGGTCACCCAGATCAATGATGAGATTGAAACTAAATGATAGGATTTTAATCTAGGCCCTCAGGACTCTGAGTCTAAGAAATGGGAGCCATTATTAACTGTTGTTATTGTTCCACCTAAACGTCAATGCCAGGATGGTCATTAGAGGAAACTACTGGGGAATTGGGGAGAGAGGATGAGGGTGCTATTCTACACTGCCCTGGCAAGCAGATAGAAACACTTAGGGTCTCTTGGACACTAGCCAGGAAAGGTTAACCAGAGAATACTGGAGGCTTTTCTTTTCAAACAGGAGAAGTTCATTCTGCTGAGAGCCTGCTGCTTTGTGGGCCCTTTACTAGAAAGCCGAAAAGAATCCGGACAGCATTCTCCCCATCCCAGCTCCTGCGGCTGGAAAGAGCCTTTGAGAAAAACCACTATGTAGTGGGAGCAGAGAGGAAGCAGCTTGCAAACAGCTTGTGTCTAACGGAAACTCAGGTATTGTTTTTTGTTGGGGGGTGGGGAGGGAAGTCATTTCTATACCACACACATCTCCTTCTGGTTCCCTTGCTATGTCCAGGAGCAAGGACTTGAATGAAAAGGACCTAACTCTTCTCAAGCATATGTCAAAGGAGCTCCTTGGTGTAATGAGCACAAACTCCAGCCTGCATATTCACAGCGTGTTTCCCAGAGCTCAGTAGTAGTATTTGATTAGGGAAAAGGAAGGGAAGAGAATGGTGGAAGGATCCAGAAAGAGGCTATTCCAGACAGCAGTATAATAAAAAGAATGTGGTGAGAGAGGAAGTGAAGTCCAAGAATTTAGCCACAGAATTCCCTGGGAAGTAGAGCTGAAGTACCCCGGATTACCCTCTAGGCAGAGACTAATTTAGGACATAGAAGCTACAGGCCTCTCATTGAATGCAAGAAAGGGGATGGAGGATATCTTGTCTGTTTGAGGCCAGTTAGAGTCCAGGGGTGGGGAACCTGTGGCCTCAAGGTCTTCAGGTGCGGCCTTTGGACTGAGGCCAAGTTTTAGAGAACGAATTCTTTTATGAAGGGGATTTGTTCTGTGAAGTTTGGATTCAGTCAAAGGGCCACTCTTGAGGACCTCGAGGCCACCGGTTCCCCACCCCTGATTAGACTATCAGGCTGGGAAGGTGTAATCTCACTGGACTCCTCCTGCAGGTGAAAGTATGGTTCCAAAATCGTCGAACAAAACACAAAAGGCAGAAGATGGAGGAAGAGTGCCCAACAGCAGAGGAGAAGAGGAAGAATGGACCGCTTCTGAGTCAGTGGCAGGCGGCTGCTAGGCAGGGCATTGATGAGGACATTGATGTGACATCTGAAGATTAGGAGTGCTCTTGGGGACTGGAAGGTGCTTTCTCATGAAAGAATGCTTGAGGCCTGACCCTGGGACAAGTTTGACGGCAGAGGCAGGACCCTCTTTGACGAGGCTGATGGATTTTAAAAATTTTCCAATGGTATCTTTAAAAACAACAACCAGGAATCTGGTTTGGAGACTGACAAACACCCACTCAAGACTGCAAGGTAATAAACTGGAAAAGTTAATGAAAGTTTTCTTCAGAGCTGGGCATGGTGTCACATGCCTATAATCCCTGCTACTGAGGTAGGTGAGGCTGCTGCATTGCTGGAGCTCAGGACCTCTGAGATGTAGTGTGCTAAGCCAATCAAGTGTCCACACTAAATCTGGCCACCAATATGGTACCTAGAGACCACCAGGCTGCTTAAGGAGGGAAGGACTGCCCCAGGTTGGAAACTGAGGAGGTCACAGCTCCTGTGCTGATCAGTAGTGGGATTGAGCCTCTAAATGGCCACTGCACTTTTATCAAGGCTGAGATAAGGGGACCCAGTCTCCAGAAATGAAAAAAGTTTTCACAAGAAATTTGCACTGCTTCGTGAGTATAAACTGGAGCTCCAAATTACCACACTGAAGACAGCAGGTGGAGCTACCTCATTTAGCAGACACTCCTGAAGAGTACAAAGGTTAGAGAAGTCTAGGAGAGACTGTCAGAGGAAGCTGACTGATTTCTAGGCCTGGTCTCTCTGACCCATTATCACCTCAGCCATGCTCACTTACTTCCCTTCATTCCATTACTTCAGGTTTGTGGTTAAGGAGTCAGAATGGGGAAAGGAAACCCAGAATCTACTCAGAGAATCCCATATTATTTTTGCAACTGGCATATAGACACAA